TATTTTTATTAGACACTTTGGTGTGATGAACAACAGGCGGGGCAAATCGCATAGTCACAAGGACTTGCTGTTCGTTCATGAAAACCGGTAACCTAAGCCCCGGGACTTGGAGTGGCGAACCACATATGGACCCACTAGGTCAGGCATGATATTGAATTGGACGACAGCAAAGCTGCGAACCACCAAAGTCGGGGTTCGAACCCCGGATCATGGGGCTCAAAGAAGGCCGGTGACAGCGACTAAACCACTGCGCCACCACATACGGGGACGGATGGTTGAGTTGCACCGGAACTAATGCAAACCGATCCGTGGATCCGCACATAAGCACGCACCGTTCACAGCCCGTTTAGAGTGTGTGTGTGTGTGGGGGGGGGCAAAGTTGCTTGCTCAAATGTGCATGCATACTGGCGCACGAGAGATTCGTTGAAAGAATGTGCTATAGTACCAGTGCATTATCCTGTAGCCTTTCTATCAAAAGATCGCACTTCTACATTGTCACGTCATAATTTAAACGATAAGAAACTAAACAGATTCGAAAATGGATCCTTCCAAATGGAACACGTTCATTTTTTTCCTCGCATTAAGTTTAAAGGAGAGAAAAAACGTCTAAAAGTAAACGGGTATTTTTGATTCCTTTACTTCTCTATAATTACTGATTATATATATCATTGAATGGTAAATCTTTCGGGCCACGGATGCAGCCAATGAAAGGCTGCTTTGGGGGACATACTGAAGCGAGGAAGATGTGCGGTAGTGACGAGATTCGAACACACGACCCCCGGGGCGATGCAATGATGACCTTAACCGTTGAACAACCACCAGTCGGGGTAAAGTCAGTGGTGCCGTGAGAACAGATAGCCAGAGACCGGGGGTTGATAGTTTAGATTATTTTCTCAGTCAACTCTCGAAAACATGAGCATATTTTCTCCATGAGGAGGTTCACCTAAAAAACCCTGAGAACTTGGGTGATGAAAAAATATTTCAGTGTTCAACAATTCACATCGATGTTGTCATCATTATACTAAACCATTCCAATCACTCGAGTATTCGATTAAAGTGTTCTGTTTCTCAAAAAGCAATATACACTCGTCAGGACAGCTTTCAGAACCCACAGAGGATTAGGAAGAAACACGAAGGAATTATTACCGAAGAAAAAGTAGAATTTATCATCAATGTGCATTAACATGTACGTACTTACGGTTTGTCGAGGATTTCGCATACTTGTGGTGGTGGCGCAGTGACCTAAGCACTGTCATCGGCGTGCTTTGGATCCCATGGTCCGAGCCCCGCCACCCAACTTTGCTGTCGTGCGGTTCAATACTACGCCTAATCTAGCGGGGCATTGTATAGTTGGCTACTTTAAGTCCCGTGGGACTTAGGTGACCGATGCCCATCACCGAACAGCAGGTCTTCGTGACCATGGGTTTACTCTGTGTGTTGTTCATCACACTGAAATGTGTAATATAAAATCGCGAATACAAATCATCCAGATGCCAGCAAATTCACGTATGCACGAGTGTCGAAAGGGAAATCGATTTGTTACAAAACCCAAACGTAATCTAATGTTCCGAGGTTGCTCAGAGAACACCTTCGATTTACCTCTTGTTTGGACTTAACAGGGTACACACCAGAACACTATGTATCCAAACCGGTTACAACGGGAAATCACAGATTCCGGCTGCATCGATAAACTCACTTCAGGGGTATCACTCCAAAGGATACGCCTATGAAAAAACGATCTATTACGTGCTGGAAAATGCAGTTTTAGTTTTCGAATCAATCGGGTTCTCTGAAGTGTACAGAAAACCTTAAAAAAAAACGACAGAAGTTAAAAAGCAGCGTTTTCACATCAATGCTCCCGGTTACTATACATATGTTTTGAAAGATATAATGTCTGTGTACGCGGGCGCACACAGTTCAATTGCTTCGCCGGTTAAAAAACCAAACGGTCTAATCCGAGAACGGAAAACACGAGTGACAGGGAAAACTCACGCCACCTTGATAGAAATATACGTAATATATGTACATGCTGAGCTGTGAGATAAAACAAAAAGAAACAAACAAATGATTATCAAGGGGTTCGGACAAAAAATAGACATGATGACAAATGCGTGACCAAGGGAGGGGGAATGCTTGCTTCAGAGGAGTATGTGACTCGGGGTTGAAGAGGGGGGCGGTAGATGCTTGAATACACTTGAGCTGAACTATCACAATTCACTGCTGGGATCGGAATCCGGTTAAAAATGGGCACATCGGGACCACATTTGATGCAGTGCTTTGCCAAACAATCCACGACACAAAGCGACCAGTGTAAGTGACAATGTGAGCCACAGTGGGATCATTACATGCCACAGACGGAACGTGGTCCAAACACCCTCGGGGGCGGAACCCGTGCCGAAATTGGATCTTTCCGCGTAAAGACAGATGGTGATCTGAGCGAGCAGTTTGGATGTGATCAGGACAAACGAGAGTACCTGATCTGTACGGGTGCCCGGATCACAAGAGCAAGTGAGTCGTATGTTTCTGTAAATAATAGTGGTGTATAGGAGTTGGGGGCGAGCAAAACACACTTGAACTTACCGATGACTGATGCAGACGCAAACTGTGATCAACATGACCAAGTCGAGGAACCACATTGGAGTGAAGATGACAAACCAATTCCAAAATATGGTCTCGTTCATGCGTAACATGACCATCAGAAAGAAGATTGACACAACAACCCATAGGATAATTGGTTTATTTAACAGTCGCATGACGTGAGTGGCATCACTGCTCTAGAACAAAAATGAGAGGAGAAGGAAAATAAACATGGAAAACTAAGCGAGGCAAGGGGGAGGGGTGAGCAAAACGAGTAAATGGAAAATTGCAGTTATTCTTGATTGCACAGACAATTACGCGGTGAACAGTTTCGGTTTTATTGAGGAAATTAGCTTTTCTTAGGGACGAAAAACAAAACGAACCAAAACACAAGGCGTTGGTGACAACGTTTCGACCCTCTTGGAAGGTCTTTCTTAAGTTGTTTAATCGGTTAACCTCACGCTACAAGTAATTATGAAGCTATGGGATGACGCCATCATGTACAACTCAGATGTGATTCGAGCATGCGTGTGAGCACGACGCCCAAGGTTTTTCCGTGACATTCGGTCCATTTCATGGATCTCATGTGATTAGCTTCAGTTTCAGCTTGCCACAACCATGTACCCGTTTAGCTGCTGTCTTTTAGCCGCTCGTTTGGCTGAACAGTAGGAGAAAGTAAGGAAAGGAACTGTTATCACGTTGCACACGTAACGTCCAGTTACCATAGTTAGGATGAAGATCATTGCTATTCAGCCCAAGATGAACCCGATTGCCTGTTTGCTAATTCTGTGAAAAAAACCGAACAAATTTACAACACATTCGACCCAAACTAGGATGGTGGTGGCGCAGTGGTTTAGTCGCTGTCACCGGTGTGCTTTGGATCCTATGGTCCGAGGTTCGAGCCCCGCCACCGCCACCCGACTTTGGTGGTAGGCAGCTCTGCTGTTGTCCGGCTCGATACCACGCCTAACCTATCGAGGCCTTATGTGGTTCGCCACTCCAAGTCCCGGGACTTAGGTTGCAGGTTTCCACCACTGAACAGCAGGTCCTCGTGACTATGGGGTTCGCCCCATCTACTGTTCAACACACTTAGGTGTGTAATAAAAAAATCGCTGATCAAGATTAAGCTCGCAGAGATTAATTAATAGTATTGCGTCGTACGGCAATATTCACTCCGTCCGTCTGATCCGTGGCATATGACCGACTGATATATATATATATATATATATATATATATTAACACCAATCTTTACAGATACGGCGCCAAAAATAACCATGGGTGAACGAAAAAATACCGACTGAACTGTGCTCAATGTGTACTTGATCGGTACAACCCTTTTCTTGCATTGATCGATGCTATTTTTAGTCACATATAAGCATCAGAGTAAAACTTGTAAATTGACTTGTGTTAAACGCCATTAAAGACCCGTGCTGCTGAAGCCGTCTTCCCTCTCGTGTTTTAGGAGGCCTGAGAGGTCGATAGCTGGCCATACGTCCTGTGTTTCACCAGGTAGCTTGCGCTCCTAGAACCATCATTCGTCCACGGACTTAGTGCTAGTCCGCTGTCCTCGAATTCCCGTGTGCTACTAGTGTTACTGTGCTATATCTTTGCACTCGTGGTGTTCACTTGTGATATAGTACTGTGAGACATAATAATAGGCAACGGATATAAGCAGAGTAAACATAACAAATTGATGACTGAACAACTACTTAACGGTACTATCTATCGTCAGATGAACGAGGTTGCCGTGGGATTCCCAATCGGTCCGTTGCTAGCTGACATCTTCATGAATAAACTGGATGGGAACACGCTGAGCATAACTATTGAAGGATTAGCACACTAAGTGGATATATGGATGGTATCTTCAGTGTGACCGATCGCGAAAATGGCATTCCACAGACACTGAGACCGTTTCACGAAGCACATCCATCATTGGAATTGACAATAAAGGTTGAAACGAACAACGTATCGGCCTGTATGGATATAACCGTATCCACAAAAGATGGATCAGCGAGAAGACAGATCCACAGAAAGAAAACGTGGAATGATCAGTATACCAACTTCCATAGTTTTCTTCCTGTGAAATACAAAGGTAATCTAGTTCGGTGTCTAGACTTCAGAACACGGAAAATTTGTTCAACAGATACACTGGATGAAGAACTACATTTCATTCGCCAATAGCTGCATGATAGTTATTCTAAAAGTGCATTAAGAACATCAGGCTCACTCCGGAGAAGAAAAACTTCATCTGGATCCACAAGAAATGATCCCATTTAAGGGAAACACAGAAAGCCTAGTAAAGTCACTGAGAACGACTGTAAATTCCACTTTCCCCGTAGCCACACTTATACCAATATTCTCTACATCACCGGTGATGCGAATGCAAGTGAAAGACAAACTACTGAAAATAACCTCATCCACGATAATTTACTTTTTTAAGTGCACCTGTGGCGCATATCACATAAATCGCACGACGGGGAGTTTGTCTCAACGTCCTAAGGGGCACCGCCTGCGACGGTTGAATCAGAAAAAAACCTGGCAGTATCTCAAGAGCGATCGCGAGTCATATCGTCGACGTCCTACACAAGATCGAAGCTTTCGATGTTGTTTGTCGCACCCCATTCAATCGATCGAGGGCAGCCCAAGTTTGGACACTAGCCATGGCCGAGGCGATCACCATTCGCTTACCAGACCCTAACCTGTGAACAAAGAAGACTGGTTTAAGCGCTTCAATTGCTTTAACCCGGTGTGAAGGCCAACAAAGAACATGAGGTCACTTGACCCAACTGGGAGAAAATCATATAAATACGCTGAACATTCTCTCTCTCTCTCTCTCTAACACGTACACACATAGATCCTCTACTCATTGCTTCTCATTAATAACCTTAAATTGAGTCAATGGTTATTATCATGTTAACATTTTTCCCCACTCTACGATATGTCACTGGGTCTACAAAAGATGGGGTGTGTCCTTGTCGGAAAAGACACGCTGCGTCCGGGATTTCTCGACCAGATGGTCAGTAAGGCGACCGAAGGAGACGTCTGTCGAGAACGTCTTTTGCCAGTCGATGCCTGGACAATTGAAATCCCCTACCACGAGGTGAGAATGTTGGCAACTTTCCGTGACAGACCTAAACTGGTCTATCAGAAGCTGATTATTTAGTAGACTGGATTGTGGTGGGCGATAGACTAGGCACATCAGGAAGTTGATCGTCCTGGAGATTTGAAAACAGATCCCCAGACTATCTATGAGAGGGATAGGATCGGTGTTTATGAAGGTTGGAGGGGAAGGTGGTGCTTAAAATAATTTATGACCCTACTTGATCTTCGGCGGGTGGAGTCTTTTCTGATAAGGGAGTAGCCTGGTACGGTTACTTAGCCATCGGCGAAGTCCGCCGTGAGCCAGGTTTCTGTCAGCAGAAAAATGTCCAGGTTGTCTAGTGCAAGCTGCCTTAATTCTAAAATGTTATTGGGGAGGCTGAGGCAGTTGCAATAACAGCATTCAAAAATTTGCTCATCATGAGGCGAAGAGAGGGGAGGTGTTGGTGGGGACATAAGGGGGGAACCCGGAGTGCTGCCAGTCGGAGTTTCTGTTGGACACCTACGTGCAGGAAGGGCGGAGGTTTCACGGATGGGTGGACTTGATTTGGTCGTCATTTTCGGGGGAGACCCTCCAGAGCCCGCACCCGAAAAGTTGGTTTCTTATTGAGGATGGATACGGAAGTTGGGGAGAGAGGAAGAGCTGTAGAAAAAAATGGAAGGCTTCGGGGAAGTACAGTCTTGAGTTTCGGGGCAGTGATAACAGGCAGCTGAGGCGATTTTTCCCCTGTGAATATGTTACTTTCTAGGACGAAGGGATCACCAAGTAGGTCTTTTTTGCTCCGGGGATGTTGATTGCTCTGGGCCGGGTTTGCTTTTTCTGGTTTGTGGTCCCGGGGGCCATACGGGTCGAAACAAAAATAATTAGAGCCGAGTGAGTATAAAACAGAGATCAATCTCAGAAGAAAGAAGTGGGGAACCCTACTAATGCCTTTTCAGAACTCTCTGTACAAGAAAAAGTTCGAACGAAAAGAAAACACAGATACCTTCAAAGGACCCGGGACATTTGGGCAACCGCCTCGAACCCGCGATCACTTCGAAACGCCAAGACTGCACCGAGCAGAAACCTGTATATGAGGGAGGGAGTCTCTTGGGGTCACATACATTACAAACGGGAATAGGGAGAATCATGAGAATGTTCTGGGTGATTTGGAAAAAGCGTCTCTGCTCGTGGAGCCGCGGTAAAAGAGTAACTGAACAGCAGTGTACAAGAGGATATAAAGTTATATACATGAAAAGGAATGTTACACATCATTCGGAAACTACCATACTGTTGCCGGTTCACGGTAAGATTTCGAACGTGCCGCGTTTCAAGGTCAGTCAGTTCAGTTCAGTTCAGTTCAGTTTGCACAGGACAGTAGTGGCCGAGACCAAT